GGCCCTTCTCTGTACTTGTACTAGGCTATGTCTATAACGGGCTTCCTAAACACATGCAGCGTACCAAGTTGGGGTCTATGGTACCAAATGTTAAGAACCTCTACCATCAAAGGCTGTGTAATTAAGTCATCTAACAACCCCGGTCTTCTGGCCGTTTCCACTCATCCTGTTAGTAAGAAGGCGGTGAGGTCGGTTACTTTATGACACCAATCTAACGCTGGGTCACGTCGTTTAATCAATCTTCTCTTGATATTTTCTCTATTTCTACCTCCTATTCTCTCTCTCTCTTTTCTCTCTCTCTCTCTCTCTCTCTCTCTCTCTCTCTCTCTCTCTCTCTGATTGTTTTCATTTCTTTCTTTGTATTCACATATATTTTATGTTTTTTTTTTGTTTTGGTGAGGTCGGTTACTTTATGACACCAATCTATCGCTGGGTCACGTCGTTTAATCAATCTTCTCTTGATATTTTCTCTATTTCTACCTCCTATTCTCTCTCTCTCTTTTCTCTCTCTCTCTCTCTCTCTCTCTCTCTCTCTCTCTCTCTCTCTGGCTGATGGTTTTCATTTCTTTCTTTGTATGCACACATATTTAATGTAATTTTTTTGTTTGCATAAAACCTATTAACCAAAACGTTCTAAATATTGCTATTTTAGCGATATTTTGATCTAAGCAATTAACTTACAAATCTGTATGACACAATAAAACAACAACTGGAATCTAGTCAGATGGTCCTATAGAACATTGCACAACAATTGATCAAATTATCCACGAATAACTTTTTTTTTTTCTCTTTTTTTTTCCTTACTTCCTACATGACGACTCTCTGGCAGCCGATCAATCACGGTCAAGATTTCTGGTCGAGTCAAAGTGTCGCTACATGCACGACAGAGATGAGTCCATGATTTGTGTCGCTACATGCACGACAGAGATGAGTCCATGATTTGTGTCGCTACATGTACGAAAGAGATTAGTCCATGATTTGTGTCGCTACATGTACGACAGAGATTTGTCCATGATTTGTGTCACTACATGTACGACAGCGATTAGTCCATGATTTGTGTCGCTAACTTCCCTCTCATTGTCGTACCGCCAAGTAAAAGTCACTGCAGCCACGGCGTCTCACTGACAGCAACCAACAAACGCCAGCTGTAGGCATGTAGATTATCTCCGAACAGTATTAGCATACAAGACAAACACTTTGGGGGTCATACTTGATACCCGGCCCGCAGCAAATGTTCAGGCTGTAGGCCTGACCGAGGCGAAGTACGTAACTGTCTGAGAGTTGTACCTGGGGCTTGGCGGATCTTGTTTCGTTTCTAATTTTTTTTTTTTTAAATGAGAATGTTACAAACATTTCATAAATTTCATCCACGCATGATGAAATTTAACAGACTTTTTCAATCTCACTTGTTAGTGTTAGTTTTTGTAATCTATTTCTGATGGAAAGTCTTTGTTGTTCTGCTATTAATGAAAAACCACTAGAATGAGAATCATGGCATGAGGGAGCAGGGGCGTCTACACATAGGGGGAGGAAGAAGCCGTTTGCAATCTGAGTTAGGGGAGGGGTAAAAATCACACACCCCCTGGCATGGTTTTTGAATTTATCCATGCAACAAATGAATATGGGATTGGAAAAAAATATTTTTTTTATTGAAAATGGGATTAGCAATAAGGACTGAACTTCAATCAAGCATTTAGATGAGACAATTTTCAACTCTCTGTCTCAGCTACCAAGTTAGCTACAAAAGATATTTTGTTTGTAAATGAAGAATTTTTTTTTAAATAGCTATAGGCAGGGGCGTAGCTAGGCGGTGTGGTGGTGCGGACCGCACCGTGTGATACCATCTTAGGTGTGACACAAAAAAAAAAAAAAAAAAAAAAAAAAAAAAAAAACTTGCATATTTACAGAGCAATTACTGCTCGGTCTAACCAAAGTTCATAAAAGGATAACCCATCACATGTAAATTTTCCACACACGTAGCCAATCCAAATGCGTGCTTCATTAAAAATTAAAAGTTCAAGGTCAAAGCGTCAGAAATGAGGGGACCCCATAATTAAGTCAGAAAAACGCCATTTGGACCATGATTCAACACTGATTGTTAACTTTCGTGACAGGAAGTAATATTTATCAAAAATCTGAGAAATAAAGCTTTCAATAGATACGATGTGGTCGGGCAATTACCAGTATATGAATCGAATGGGTAAAAATTACAAACTTTTTTTAAAAAATGACTTGTTACCCATTTATATTAGAGTTAACAAAATAATACGTTTTTTTAAAGTTCTAATATCTTTTAATAATTAATTTAAATGTATTTAAATGATCAAGTGATCGACAGGTGTGCAGCTTTGAAGGCCAGGAGAAGACAATTTTTAAATAAAGTAAATTTAATGTAAAAAATAACTACAACATAACGTTGTTATAGTTTTAAAATACATTTACCTCCTAAAACAACAACACTTAGCTGGGACCAAAATCACACTATAAGTCAGCAGTTCCCAACCTATGTTTAGCACACCCCTGATGGGGGGTGCTTGGGGCTATGCAAAAATTATATTGATAATTGTGAATACCTGCTTTAAAAAATTTTTTTTTTTTTTTTGCACCCCTTTCCCTAAGATAAGCTTTTATTTCAATATAAGTCTAATCAAGGGATACTGAGGGTTAAACGAAAAGCCTGGAGCCGCTTCCCTAAAAGGCGCGACTAATTGAATGGATTTGATTGTACGTTAAGCGAGGAAGGACAGAGTTACAGCTGGCTCTGGTCATCTTTATGTCAACATTTGATGCTGGTAGATGCATTAGCCAACGGCGTAGCTAGGGTTAGTGCCATCATTGGGGGAAGGGCAAGATTTTTTTGACCCCCCCCCCTCTTTTCTATGATAAAAAGTATGCAGTTAGCTAAAAATTCTGCCCCTCCAGACAACGGGGAAAGAATCGCAACCCCCCCCCCCTTTTTTTTTCCTTGCGCTTCTGGCATTGCCCACCCGAACATCTGGAGTGTCCCCCCCCCCTCCACGGAACTCATTGTCTGAAAGGAACAATGCAAGCCTATACATGTAGAATTGATCAAGGGCCATGGAGGAGTGGGGGTGTTTGGCTTCCACCAATCGGGGTGGGGATAAACGCCCCTGTGCTGTATGATTCGACAGCTTTATGTGGAGCGCCTAACAATGTTTCAAAGTTTAGCAGTGCACGTTAATTAATATTGTATTTCAAAATGTATGTAGCGATTTCTTAACGGAAATGCATGTTGATTGTTAGCTGTAAAGAATGGCGAACCCAAGTTTAAGGACCAGTTTAAGTTTTGGTGTTTAGGGACTAATGGTTTAAGTGTTTGGGGACTAAGAGAAAAGGTGTTGGAACACTAAGGGAAAAGAGACTAAGAGAAAGTTGTTTGGAGACTACGGTAAAAGGTGTTTTGAGACTAAGGAAAAGGGTGTTTGGAGACTAAGGAAAAAGGTATTAGGACTAAGAGAAAGTTGTTTGCAGACTAAGGAAGAAGGTGTTTGGAGACTAAGGAAAAGGGTGCAAAAAAAGTCTGCAAAAAAAAATGTTCTAACTTGTGATGGTAAATTATTACTAATCCATCATATTCACTCATTCGCTTTAACTCTTGATTGGTTGAATAATGACGTCATCCATTCACCAGTGATTTTTTTTTGTCTTTAAATTGCGTAATTTTACTAATGTTTATCCTTTAAAAAATAGTTCATCTTGCTGGCACGTTAATGCTCATACTACTTACTAAATTCTTATAAAAGTCTCGATGGCTAAAGGCGGCTAGTCATAAGCTCTACGTAACCCGTGTGTTGTGCTCTGTGACACGTCTTCACGTGTTTTTGAGTTGTATAACACGCACTCCACCGTCAACTTCTCCTGTGCCCACGGTACAATCTTGTTGCTTGCATTGGGAAATTCGATGTCCACAAACATCTCCACCTTAGCCAGAAATGTAGCTGTTTACACTGTGGCTACCCTTGTCGAGTCGTGTCCCCACAATGTGCTCTTATCTCCCTTAACAGCTCCGCGGATCAGAAAGGACTTGCTCTATTAATAAACATACTTGTTTTAAGGTTGAACTTGAATTTACACGAAACTCAACGATACTGATGAAATAGAAGAGAGGGGAGTTTGTATGTAAAAGAAAGCAACTGATTAGTCCAAACATCTGCAAATTATAGTTAACAAACAACAAAATACAAATGACGATTTTGAGAAAACCTAGAATAGAAGATGCACACTTAATTGTTATTTTGCTTTGCTAACCTGTCATGTTTAAAGAAAAGCATCAGTTAGGTCTGAGTGGAAGAAAGTGGTGAGGCAGGCCAAAGCCCTACATGGGATGTAGCGCCACAGGATGGATGGATGAAACTTGTATTGCTACCATGTTTTTTTATGACCGCTATTTTTTGGTAGCAGAGGGTGGCTGAATTTTACTGGCATGAAATCAGTGAATTTATTTAATTACGAAAATGCGGCAAAACAGAGAGGGGTGGGGGGGGCGGTCGCATGTTTAGGATTAGGAGAGTTAGAAGATAGTAAACCACTCATGTATTCAATTATTGCGGCTTACTTGGCCAGATCAATCCTACAGAACTTTGTTGTTACTGAAAAATACAAATTAAATAGACATCGGGAACAACTTTTTAAAAAATCATTATCAGTTTCTTATCGTGCAATTATTTCCTTATCATGATATTGTTTTCCTATCTTGTTATTATTTTCTTATCATGCTATTATATTCCTATCATGTTTTATTTTCCTATCATGTTATTATTTTCTTATCATGTTATTATTTTCATAGTATGTTATTGTATCCTTAAAATGTTCTTATTTTCCTATCAGTTTGTCAAGTTTTTCCTTCCTTATGATGTAACAGTTTAAATGCCCAGGTTCAGTGAATGATTCACCTTCATGTCTGAATCAAAATAACTCCACCTTCCTGATTCTAAAGTTAGAAGATTTAATTGAAAGAAATGGTTTCATAGACAAAACCCTTTTGAAAAATTTAAAATTCATTTATTAGTTTTTTATATTAACATATCACAGAGAAAATGCCAACAGTTTTGACTAACTAGGTAGTATGTTTCCCATTGGTTAAGTTCAATTTTTTTGTATTCTTGCATCATTCACTCTATTCACAGGTTAATGGATAACTGACTACCATGGAAATTTACAAACATTCAATAATAAGACAGTGATTAAATTGTTCAAAACATTCATCTTATGAATTATATGACACTCATTGCTCTTAGTTAATGTAAAGCTTGTCCAGAGACAACAACTTTGTGTAAAGAGATGAAATGATCGTAGCCGGATTCTATGACAATCCTCAGGCTCAGTGCTCTCTTCTCTCCAATCTGAATCTCTTCTTGCTGAAGTTGGGAATCTGTCTCCTCTAACTCTGTCGTGTAGAGAGAAAAGAAAAAGGTAGGAATGCCATACATGGCTCCGGGTGTCAATAATAAACAATTCACAGACGTACTGCTAAAATTTATTCACATTAACTTGTTAACACACATTCACATTTTATTTGTTAACACACATTCACATTTTATTTGTTAACACATATTCACATTTTATTTGTTAACACACATTCACATCTCAACTATTATTAAAAAAAAGATTAAAATACTGCACATACTAACCCTAAAAACGTAATGTAATTCTCATCCCAGCTGTTAATATAGACTCACATCCCCTTGTGATATATTCAACAAATATTCACAACCAAAATTTAACATAGATTTACACTCCAATCATTAAAGACACGTTACATTCACACTTGAATATTTAATATAATTGAAGTCCCATTTCGGTACATTAACATACATTCACATCCTTATTGTGTAAAATCCTTCACACCCAGTGTAAATATTCATAGTACTAATAGTATGAAAAGTCAAACCTCAAAGCTTATGCCTTTTTTAAAAATAAGAATTCCACATCGAATTCAAAACAATCATTATTGTTTACTTAAATGTAATAAGTGTTTTATACAAACCTCTTTCAGCAATAACATCAAATTTGTTGTCATCATTTTCTGAAGCTTCTAGTCTAACTTTCAAAACTATTAAGAAAATATGGCAAAAGTTAATTTGTAGCTTTTATGTTCCACAAGATTTTTTTTTTAATTACAAAAGCTACCAATTGAAGAGTAGGATTATGCTAAAGTAATCAAAATCAATCACTCATTAGTGTTATGTATCTAATGAATTTGGCAAGTTATTTAAATCTCAAAACCTTTATAAGTTGACTTACTATTATATGAGCATATATGAATATTTGTAATTTTCATCAAAGTCTGAAATCTAATAACAACCTCTTGAGGGAACATGCCTGTGGTTGACCAGAATGTTTCTGCATTTCTGAAAATATATAAACTAGTGATTGGTGAGATTTCTAATCTTAATAACAAGACAATTTTTTTAAATATTAATTTTCTTTTTATAAATAAGTGACTATATGCAAATACATTTTTTTTAAACATGTCAATCTAAACTTTTAATAATAAAATTTAACTTTAACTAAAAGAATTTTAGTTTGAACTATGTATCTTGATTATCACTTTCTTGAAAACATTTATTAATATTAAATGTAAATAAGCTTAAATGCAAAAATAAAAAGATGATATCATTAATTTACTATTTCTCAATCAAACCCCGAATCCTCAAATGTATCCTGCTGCCTGGCACACCATCATGCTCTTAAAAGAAATCTTGCCTTTTGAGCACAATGTTTGCACATACCTACTATAAATCTTTGTTAACATATATATCAATACTGTTCAATTAATTTTTAAGCAAACTGCAGGCAAATTTTAATAATGTTTATTAGAATTACACTTTCGATAAGCCAGTCATCATCCCAGACTAAATGTTGATTATGAATCTTATAATCAGTCATAATGACATATAAGATTATAAGATTTGCATTTGTGAATATTCAATCATGAATTTTGAAGCTTGTGTACGAATGACAATGTCAATAATCCCATTAATTAATATGGCATAAGTCAATGTTATGTTGAAATATATTTTATAGAAAAATAATTTTTTCTAAGTCATTTAATAGGTATTATGAAACTCACTCGGGCATACGTTCTGCGCTTTGTGGCCATTTCACACTCAGCTCAGTGATGTTTTCCATTTTTTGGGTTTTATGTCACAGTTTTCTAATAATTAACTATTTTGTCATCAATGATGTAGAGCCCATATTTTTCCAAACACGTTGATATCATTTTTACAGTACAGTACGGTGCATTTGTGACTGGCAGCTTATTTAGTTTTACTTATCGGTATGTCATTAATAGTTTGTTATTTCTTAATGCAAACTTGAAGAACATAGCGCTTTAACATGCCACTGCTTGATTTGTTCACAAACGGGAATAACTTTATTTTGTTAATAATAGCAATTTCCCAAAAAAGTTATGCATTTTAAAGCGTAAAATGAAAATTTCAGTTGTCACCAGCTAACCCAAATCAAAAAATAAATTGAGTTGTCGGAAATGGCCTTATAATTCAATATAAAGATATAAAAATATGTTCATTATTGTTCATCTTCAAAAATCCGTGGAGGCTTGATCAATTAATGAAGGTGAAACAGTTTTTACGATATTATTATTAGAAATTAATACAACCCAATAAACTAAAGAGTTTTTAATAATTTTACTTTACGAAGTCAGGTGAATTTTGGATTACCATATTTTCCGGCATATAAGACTACTGGGTGTATAAGACGACCCCCTACTTTTCCTGTTAAATCTAGGGTTTGGCTGTACACCAGCTCATAAGACGATCCTCGGCTTTTAAGACGACCCTCAACTTTTGAAAAGATTTTCATGGGTTAAAAAGTTGTCTTATAGGCCGGAAAATACGGTAGTCTTGTCCCTTGATTAACATAAATAATTTAATTTTATTATAATATATATAGTCATAGTATCAATTTACGTTAATACATTTTGCGAAGGTAGGCATACACATTTACAGTAATAATAATTGTTAATCTCTCATTAATGACATTACTCATAGACATACTCATGTAAGTTACGACAATATCATTAATAAAATTAGGCCTAGCCAATATGTTATTGTTACATAGGTCTAGCTCTACGGAGTTTTAAACAAAATTTTAAAAAGAAAAAAAAATTTTGTACATTCAGGATTATGATTAGATGATATTTCTTGGCTTTTTTCTGGTACAAGGTAAAATTTCAATTTTCTATTGCAGGCCTTGGAATTCCTTCCATTGCAAATGAGGCAATTTCGGATGTAGAGCATGTAGACAAACTTTATGAAGGAGAGTTTGTGGGATTCATAAACAAGACAAAGAAGTCTGTAAAGGAGTCTATCCAGAAAATGCCAGGCAGAGCATCCTCATTACATTTTATCACATACAGGACAGCTCTTAATGAATGATTTTATTATTATCTTTAAAAATAATTTCATGCTTTCACTTTTATTTCTAAAAAAGACTTCTACCTACCTTTTCTAAATATTAGCATTTATATTAAATTTAACTGTAGCATATTTAATTAAAATACAATGAACATTTTATTTCTTTTCAATTAGCCTCTAAAAGTAATGATTTTCCAATTTTTCTTTGGCAATGTCTAACACGTCCAGCGACCTAACAAATAGTGCGGGAGATATTCTTCCGGCGGGCATGTCATGTGACCACCAGATGACTAGTTGGTGGTATTATTCCGACAGACATGTCATGTGACAAGAGTTCGCCTGCAAAATAGTTGCATTGCATATAGTATTTTAATATTGTGTATATATATAGATATATATATATATATATTATTCAGCCGATCCCTAGATTATAAATAAATACAGAATATGTTAATATTTTCAAATGCTCTGAGATACATAAAGTGTATCATAAGCTTTTGACTTCAAATTAAAACTAGTATAATATTAGTAGGCCCATATACTAGTCTATTGAATCTAACTTCAGAAAAAAAAAGAAAAAAAAAGCTTGTTATCTTGGTTTAACTGGTTAACTACCATGAGCCGGTGGGAGCGGCTCGGCCTTTATTCCGTTATTACCATGAGCCGGTGGGAGCGGCTCGGCCTTTATTCCGTTATTGCCATGAGCCGCTGGGAGCGCCAATGTTTGAATTGTATTAAATGTGACCTAGATTTAATTCAGCCAACGCTTGTTTTTCAATCGGTAGTTAATCAGTTAAATATCTTATAAAGCTCTCCAATGCCATTTTTCTGATCGACTATTAGCAGTCACATGACAAGACTGATTGACAAATATCTTACGCAACTTTGTTATGGCAGTCATGTGACTTGGTCGCCAGACGAATATCTCGAGAACTTCTTCGTCAGGTCGCCGAACATGAACAAAAGCCAACAAAAAAATGGCCAAAAATATTTTTTTTAAATATGACATAATTAAAACCCAACTTAAAGTTTCATAAAATACACTTTTTACACACTTTATTTCAGATTCCAAATAAAATAACATGCACAAATGAATAGAGCGCAACAGCCGGGATTGGGCTAACATGTTTCAAAGATGGTAGCATAAATAAAATATGATAATTAGCCAACCTATGATAATTTAAAAATTATAAATAATCAACCAATCAAAATAATAATAAAAAACATGTCATCGGCACTTCCTCCAACAATAAAATCAACAAAGGGGAATGACTCCTGCACAAAAATTAAATAAACACGCAAATGACGTCAAGGGGTGAAGAATAATAATCAGCCTTTTAAATATTTTTTTTAGGGGGAGTGGGGTGGAGATTTGTCATCGTATAGGCATAGGCAATGATAGGCCGATAGGCGCAGGGCGGTAACCGGGCAGGCCTTTACTTTAGCTATATTGTCTGTATAAATTAGTATTTACATCAATTCACCCACCCATCAATTATATTCTCTGGTGGATGTTTTTCGTCACTTGATGTTGCTAGTGCAATGTGGGCACCGGCTGACGATAGAGCAACGTCAAACATTTTGAAAAAATATTACAATCGTCTTTTCGAATTTTATTTGTTTACTGTTGATCGGCAACACCAGGAATTTCACACAGAGCATGCGCGAAACTTTTTGAGTAGTCATTGCAAATATTTAATACCATTTGATTAAAATTTTCTTTTCAATATTAAGTTTTAAAAATAATCTATTTGATATAGAATAAAATAAATAATTATTAAAAATTAAATAATTTCATAGAATAAAACTTAATTACATATTGCTACTTTAATAATTTAACAAAAGATTACTCAAATTTTAGATAAAATCATGTGACTTGGAAAGTTAAAAATGGTGGACGGCTCAAACATGTATCAAAAACAAATTTTATGTAGCCTATATCTTCTTGCTTTATTTTCTGGATTCATCAATGCAGATCCAGTCCCTGTCGTTCTTTGGCACGGGATGGGTAAGTTTGAAAATAATATAAAGTCGGAATTTAGTAATATACGTTGACATCTTTTTTAGGGATCCTTACTTTTTACTTTTAGTTAAAAAATTTTTACTTTGCCATCTAACTTGGGACTTGGACTTGGGAATAAACATCAACATGTCGTACTTTTACAGTTACAGTATTTTGTTACATTTTATCACTGCTGAAGCCTTAATAAGTCCTGACCAAAATTTGAATGAGATTCAATTTGAGAAACTACATATTATATTATAATATATTTTCTAAGCTTTTATTATATTAAATTATACGAAGTGGATGCGTACACCGCGACGGTGTACCTAGCGAAACCATCGGCTTTGGCCTGCGTAAACCGCGGCGGTGTACCTAGTGAAATAGTGGGCTTTGGCCTGGGTACACCGTGGCAAAAATGTACCAATGGCCTGGTTTTAAGATATGCTTATTAGAGAAGATCTTTAAATATATGTTTAAATATTATATTAAATACACTTTATATATTTATATACATTTAAGTTTTAAAATATTTTGTAGCAATTTAAACAATTTAAATATATGTTTCAATATTATATTAAATACACTTTATATATTTATATATACATAAGTGTTTCAACAAGTTGTGCCGGCCTCTAACTTTGAAAATACAGGTAAATTTAGTAATAAGACTTTAGACATTTGAAAACAAATTTAAAGTTTCTGAAAGCGCATGTATAGTGTATGTAACATGTGTAAGAGAAACATTATGAATACTAAGTGACTAAGTATATTCTATTGTATTTCAACATTCTTCGTGTAGTTGAATATTTACATTTTACTTTTACGAACACCCAAAGAAAATACCAGTATATTATTAATATCATATAATTTTAATGTCATTAATGTGCATGGTCGTATTTCAACCTTGAACCATCTTGCTTTCACTATGCCTTATGCATTGGCAAAATGTACATACGATATCAAAGGTTCATTCACAACACTCAGTCTCACAGCAAATCTTTTGAAAACACCTCGATTTTAGAAACTTGCGGAGCGGTAGCAAACTGTATAGCAAAGCCATAGGTCTGCGTTTACCCTTTTCATGACGGAATTTGTTTCCAGAATGGCATGGCATGTGCTATTCTCAGGGTAAAACATGACGTTTTCTCACAGAAACCATTGCACAATGGGCTTGGGACAGGATTTACGCTATGTCAAAGTTTTTGTATTTATTGGGTTTTTTTAATTGTTAAGAAATCGATCCTTGCTGGGCGGTGGGGGTGGTGATGAGTTATGGGCAGAGGCTTAACCAAAAAGGGGGCATTCACAAATCACGGCTCTGGATAGGGGTTATCCACAAAGGATGTCCGCACAATAAACTTACCTTTTGCATCCCGCCCCCCTTTCCGCCAGCATTTTTTACTAATGTGTATTGCCAATGTAAAACTAAATCAATGATATTTAATAATTGTTAAAAGACTTTTAAAAATCACTGCAGTGTTTCGTATTTATCATCTTACTGCTGTTTTGTGTTGACACACACTTGGTATCACAATGACAATGCCTCGGACAACTTTAACTTCACGACTTCATGATCAATGTATGAGTATGTGATTCTCTTCCCGTAGTGTATTTGTGTCGTAATTATATCTTTGTGCTAACAAAATAGATTCACTGGCTTCCCATTCATTTTTACACCACACCCCGAGGGATCACATACAATGTTATATTTATTAATACCCCCCCCCCCCCAAAAAAAAAAAAAAAAAAAAAAATGGGCATGAGAGAATAATTCCAAATTAGCTCCCCTTTTTATGCCTATTAAGATTCACAATCATATGATAAAACTTACAACAATTAATAAATATATTTGTATTTCAATATATGGGGGGTGGGGGGAATAATGTGGTTAACTTTAAAAATAAATCATGGTTTAACATTACACCCCCAGCCCCCTCCCTTCCAAAAAATAATAAGAAATGCTTTACATGTACTTTGTCACATAAGCATGGAACTTACTCAATATCTTCCCAAGGTAATAAACGAATTTTAAATAAATAGTTTTCAGTTTTAACATGAGTATAACATTAAATCTACAAGTACCGGTTAGGCCAAAAAGTTAAAGACTCGCAAAGACCATAGTTTTGCTAATTTAAATCGCTGCGGTGTACGCAGGCCACGGACCATGATTTAGCTAGGTACACCGCCGCGGTGTACGCAGGCCAAAGTCAATAGTTTCGCTAGGTACACCGTCCTAAATTATTGGGGTCACTAACACTAGGTAAAAAATGCTATAGGTTATACTTATAACTTATACTATTCTATACTGAATACTGATGAAAGATGAGCAAGAAATGCGAGAAACAATCTAATTTTGAAATTAGCATGTACAAAGACAAGCCAGCCAATCTCGAGGCTTTTATTATTGAGCCAGTGGCGGATGGACCTTTCGTCTTATTCGCCATTCGACTCTGGGCCTATAGATTGGCCCATCCGTTCCAAGAGGGTTAATGTAATTTATTAATTTTTTTTAATATTACATTATTAATCATTAAGTTATAAAGATAAGTTAGTAGTTAGACTTTTCTTTTAAGGAAGGGCTAAAAGCGATAAGAGCTTACTAGCTTACTTTAATTAGGATTAATTTAGTAATGTTAATTATATTAGGTTGATTGGGCTTATTTATAAGTCTAATTTTATATTATTATTAATAATTAATAATGACTTTGACTTCGACATTACTTTTTTAGTTTACTAACTAGTCAGTTTTTAATACTCGAATATTAGTAATAGTATTTATTTTCTGAATAAAATTATGTTCAAATTTATTTGAATAGGCTATTGGGCTTATTAAAAAAATATTTGTTGCATTATTAATAAATTCAATAATAATAATTATAATATCCATTACGCATTCTATTTACGGCTGGTAGTCCAGTGTCATTTTTTAGGCTAATTTGGAAGGTTCTCATGGTCCATGATTTAACGTAAGACTAATTATTAAATACCATGCCTGCTACACCATGTGGTTTTTCGGTACAAGTTGGTTGATAATAGTAGGCCAATGAATTTTAAATCTTAGTATTTACTGTTACCGTTACTGTTTTACACTTAATTGTGTCTGTTTTACAAGGGGATAGTTGCTGCAACCCTTTAAGCATGGGATCAATCAAGAAATTGGTGGAGCAACAAGTAGGAGGTGGTGTTTATGTTAAATCATTAGAAATTGGAAGCAATGTCTTACAGGTAAATATTTATATATTTATAAATAAATATTTATATAATTTCTTGATTTAAAAAGTTATCATCCTCATAAAAGTATCTGATAAAATATATGTTGGTCTTAATATTTCAAAAACTTTTATTTTTGGGTATAGCCTATAATTACAACTTTAAAAAAAAGAAATCCTTATGCTCATAGATGTTCATATTTTTTATATTTCATAAAAATCAAATATCATTTATAGTTATAATTAAAACAGGACACAGAGAATGGATTTCTCATGAATGTGAACAAGCAAATAGATATTGTATGTGACCAATTGGCAAAAGACAGCAAACTTCAGCAAGGCTACAATGCCCTTGGCTTCTCACAGGGTGGACAGTTCCTGTAAGCCATTAACCTTTGTGAGCTCAGTATCACCATTATTTTTATGAGTGCTGGGATAACATAATTTGTTATGAACACTGTGAAATACTAATTTTCTATTAGCACATATGGGTATAATAACTGGTTACAAGCACTTATAATGATTGTATCATAAATAAAATATTTGAAAAAGAGTCCCTTGACTATATAATAAAAAGAATTTTTCAAAGAAAGTGGCATCTAACTCTTAACACTTAAGTATTTTTTTGAAATAATCGAACTAAAAGGAATGCTTATAAAGAAATGTTTTTATTTATAAAATTTAATCTTATTCTAACAGTCGTGCAGTAGCACAGAGATGTCCAACCCCTCCTATGCTGAATCTGGTTTCATTTGGAGGTCAGCAACAAGGTAATAATTATTTTCCTGTCTTATTTCAGTTTTTTTTTTTTAAATTCACTTTAAGAGAGGTGAAATAATGTTGAAGTGATTAATTAGCCTGGCTTAGCCTTGAAAAAAAGTGTATTTCATTATTTATTTAAAAGATACAAAATGATTAAAAACAACTTCCAGTCCACCCTGTCTAAAGATTTAACTACACTCAGTAAATTAAATGGGAGCATTCTTACAATTTCTGTTAAACCATATAATCTATTTGTTCTGTTGCATTAGCAATTTATTTTACTTTTATTAACTTCTAGTTTACTTTGTTCACGTGAGTTAAGTTGCTGTCTATCTCATAGTCATTTATAAAATTACACATTTATACAGGTGTCTATGGATTTCCTAGGTGCCCCGGAGAAAATGAAACGCTGTGTGATTTAGTGCGCAAGCTTCTCAATGTTGGTGCTTATGTTTCGTAAGTTTATTTCTCACCTGTCTTAGCCAAAACATTAATCTTATTTGTTTTGATTAAATCCTTAAACATGAAATAGACAAAATTAAATTGATGATTAATAATTTACATCTGATGTCATTTTACTCACATCTGTTGTTAAATTATTTTTTTTTTACTGTTTGGTTTAAGAATTAAATACCAGGTATGTCAAACTAATCATCTATGCATCTTCTCACAGGTGGATTCAAAATTTGTAAGTAATTAAATATTTTCACTAAATAAATAGGTTATCTATCCTTTTAGTGTTATAATTATTTCAAGGTAAGTTGATAAGCTCTAAGAAACTGTTGATTTTTTATTGTAAAAAAAGTTCCTTAAAATATGCTCCAACATCAATTCATTTCAGTTTAATCAGGATGTGTATCACATATTTAGAATCATTTTCCCCAATGTCTATATTTTATATCACAAATCACACCACACGCTAAGTCTGTGCTAAACAACTCCAGTCTCATGAACCAACACAAGTTTATTTACATTTTGATTCTTGCAAATCTCTTTCAACCCCACTTATGTTACTAGCTATCACATCCTTGTTACAGATTTATTACCCAAATAGTGATGTTACACCCTTCACCTGAAATGAAAGGAACTATATAAATTTTAATGAATTTCATTACCAGCATACTGTATTATACATGGACTATATTTTTAAACAATTCAAAATTAATCTTTTTTCTCAGCCTTGTACAGGCAGAATATTGGCATGATCCATTGAATGAAGCTGAGTATAGGAACAAGAGTGTCTTCTTGGCTGATATTAATCAAGAGAGGGTAAGGGAGTTAAGAATTTTTGATTTATTAAAAAAAAAAAAGGTTTTTGATGTTTGCATTAATAATCTATTTTTATCATGACCTAGCTATGAAGCTTAATAAATAATCAAGGAGCATCTGTTTCTTTGAATAAATTTGTTGTGCAATAAATTTAGGTTAAATAAAAAGATAATTCAACCCAAAAAAAAACAATCGCATCATTTATATAATTTATCAGGAACTTTTATTAAATCAACAAACTAAGAGTTTGAGGGAAATATTTATTCACAGACATTTAATGCTACATACAAAACTAATCTCCTGAAACTGAAGAATCTAGTCCTTGTCATGTTTGGAGAAGATACAATGGTGGACCCAAAAGAAAGTGAAGTATGTTAATGTTAAATCAACTGTAAAAAGGATATATCCAATTTTGGGTATGAGCATCAATGCTTAATTTGGATTTTAAGAGAAAAATCTGTTTCATGTAATAAGAGCCAACTTTTGCAATTGCAAATCAAATTCAGTCTTTATTAACTTGAACCCTATATCTACCTATTTGAAACCAATATGGCACTTTTTGTTAAGTTCTGAGGGAAAAATGTTTTTGTATTATTGTGCTCTATTTCAGTGGTTTGGTTTCTATGTTGAAGGTCAAGCAAAAGCTTTATACAACATGACCGAGAGTAAACTATATCAGCAGGTAGATACATTATCATAAGCAGGGGTAAAACTAACCAATGATTGATCCAGGGAAAGAATGCTCTTCAGTGAAGAAAAAAATCAGAATGGGAGGGGTAAAAATAGAATGTTTTCTTCAATAATCAATACTTTAGCTTATTTTTAAAAGAGACTTTAGGAGGTATGTGCTACCACCCTGAATCTGCCAATCCATGTGTTTTAATTATATTTTACTAGATGTATATGTTAGAAGATGATTTGAAATTACGGTTGTCATTTGATTATAATTTAAAAGCTCTTTTTTTAAATACTAACTACAAAGCTGTACAGTTATCGTTTTTTTTCTTTTAGGACTTGCTGGGTCTTAAAGAGTTAAATCAGAGCGGCCGCCTAACTTTGCTTGTGTCCCCAACTGACCACCTGCAGTTCACAGATGCTTGGTTTGAAGCAAATATCCTCAGATTTTTAAAGTAAACCACCAATGACTACCTACTTTGTTAAAGTTGCACAATTTTTCTACATATTTTTTTTACCATAATTCAATTGATATCAGCTTCAGATTACAGGTTTTTAAAATAAACAATGATCCTCTTTAGATTTTTAACTCATCAGAAAAACTACCTGTCTAGTTTAAAATTACTTTAAATTTTTAAAAATAAAAAGGTAAATAAATACCCAAAAATACCTGATAACAGAGTTCCTTTCCATTTAAAAAAATAAATAAAACAAACCATGATTTTTTTTTCAATTCTTCGAATTAATTATTACCTTAAAGAATATTTTATCTAAGTTATGTTCATAATTTTAAGTGGAGATTTTTTTTCTTCGGTTTCAGTTTGTTTCTTTCTTTGCTTTGTCTTATGAAAATCTATTTATACTAATTTTGATCGTAAAAATGTTTGGCTGTAAATGTTTACATCACTTATTTATTAACATTGTTCACCTTGAAATTATTTACCTTTTGTAAATGTCATCTTATGTTTAATTATAATATTTATTCCCATAAAATTTTAAGGTAATTATGAGTGATTGCTCCTTAATTATGCAGAATAGAAACAACTCATTATTTTTACTATTTTAAAGTGCCTTACCATTGTTGACAGTTTGATAAACAGATAACTATTCCACATCAGATATCCATAATTACTGAATAAATGTGTTTATTTCAGGGAAAAGTCACTTTTGATGACTCTGGTTCTCTTTATCAATATATATGAAATCAAAAAGAAACTTAATTATATAAGGCCATAAAAGAACTGTGAAAAAAAATTGTGTTGTTGTTTCTATTTAAATTTCTTTCTTAAAAAATAAATAAATATAAATGGTTAAAACATGATTTATATTCAAATTTAGATTGTAGTATTATTACTATTTTTATTTCATTTTAATATTTGGCTCCAATTACAATTTTAGGGTTTACATCTCTGAATATGACTTTTGTCATGGTGCTTTGACATTTTTTAAGATATCTGTATATAAGTTAATATCAGCCTATCCTGAAAAATGCTGCAGGCATCTTTAGTTTTAACCCAACTATTTACTGTAAGAGACAGAATTACACCTCTTTAGATTAATATAATTTTTCACTATCATTGGAAATTGTAAGTTTCAGCTTTAAATTTTTACTACATTTAGAGTCGGTTTTAATTGATTATTTTTTTTAATAATGTTTAAGATGTGATAATAAATTTTAATGTTATGTACAATAAAATTTTGTGGCATTGACATATGTTAATAAAAAATAATTTCATCTGATAAACTTGAAACTTTTTTTATTTTATTGGTTATAATTAAGCTTACCACATTAGACCCCAGAAAATAAATCTATTGTTGAAAAATATTGTTGTGGTGAAATGACTTCTATTGGTAGGTACAGGTAGATGATTCTCATATGAGTTTCTTCACGTGCCAAGGGCCATAATTATTATCATGTTCACTTATATCTATAAAGCAAAAGAATTACAAAATTTCATAAATTTTAAATGAAATTATTTATTTACATGGATTTTACAACACTGCAAAGAGGTTATAGTAGTTGAGGATATGAGATACCTTTGCATATGATTTATTTCTAGGTCTTATGGAAATAAATTGCTTCAACATTGGAAGTTTTTCTCCAGTCCTCTCCTTTGCAGTATGTGGTGGAATAGCTTTTCCTTTGTACATTGTGATAAATGGACTCCCCTGCAATATGGCAACTAGGCTATATGTGAAATGATATTTAAAAAAAAAGGAAGGGAGCAACTTTTCCAATAGTCATAATCCCTTTCCAACAACAAATTCAGATTTAGGCATTGAAGGGGACATCAGCTTTGAACATAAACATCCAATGTATGGATTACCTTATTATGTTAGTCTTTACCATATTCTGTGCAGAATGTATGGGTAGCATCAACATCCAGCTTGGAGACGCAAGATGAATGTAGAGTTAAATGTAAAAACACAATGAATTATACATATTCATTTGTACAAGAATGATCATACGTTGGTATGATTAAAACAAACTTTAAATACATGGTGGTAAAATGTATCCAAAAAAAAGGATTGAAATCAAAATGCCTAAACAACTCAGCAGGTTAGAATTTGACAGCTTCAGACTCATGAGTAAAGATGTACTATGCATGAAAATCTAGAACGAAAGTTTCTAAATTCTGCCTTGGTAAATATAGTTGATTTAATATAATTGGTCATTGGTTGATTTAATTCATATGCTGATCAAGACCACTGAAGTAAATATTTAGCAGTGAAGTCAAAATTTTTCATGAGTTAATAAGAGCTAACTCATTGCTTAGGTGTGGGTGTTTTTACTGAGCAGTTCATGACACCATTCAAGCTCTCAGTGAGTTGTGCACAGATGATAACAAAGGGAAATAAAACGCATACTAAACAATAAGAGGGGATGGGGGGCGCTTTCTAGCAAGGTTTTTTAATTATAGCACTATATTGGACTTTTAATGTCCAGATTGCATTACAGTTGTAAGGAAACAAAACAATAACAATAGGAACAGATTTTTGAGTGACTGAATTATTTCAATGTTTTACTTAGTTACAGTCTGAAAAAGATATGAAAACGATACAGTGGATATAGCACTTGTAACGTTTTGAACCCAAATAGTTTTAGTTATGCCACAGTGAAACGGATTTTTATTTCATTGAAAGTTTGGAATTATAGAACTCTTTTGATCAGGCTAAGAAACATAATTTATTTTATGACATAAATCAAAAGTTCACTGGATGTTATAACAGAAATTGAATTTTGTTTTCTAATGGAATACAATCCCTATTTGTACAAAATATAATCCACATTAACTTATAAAAAATATCACTTTAAAAAAAAATAATAATAATTTATAGCTTTTAAATCATCCAAATTTCAAGAAACTCAAATATATGTTAAATATAAAATTTATGAAATTCACATTTTCATACTGTATTTATATCTATTTGGGCATATTTTCCTGCAATCTATAATTTAATATGAGTAAAAGGTGAAATCAGAAATAGAAAATGTGGAATAAATCATTGCTAAGAAGATCAAAAGAGCTAATCTTTGCAACAAGTTGATCTGTAATAAGTTTTTAAATATTAATATCATTAGTCCAACTTCAAATGAGGAAACAATTTTCATGTTTTCAAATCCAGTTAGAGATGTTCTTTGACTACTCAAAATTTTTTACAGGTCAGCATATAATACTAAGTATATTATAATTTCAGTTTATATTTAAATTTATACAACAGCTGTCGGTTGTCGAGAGTTTACAACCGATGAAAGAGTAGACAACCCTGATTTAACCTGGGAAATGTTGGGTAACACCACTTGTTCGCTTCTCTTCATCACAGTATCCAAGGCGATCTGTTTGACCATCTGAACATCCATCTGTGAACTCAGAAACTGGGATATTTGCTCTAAAGCCTGCTCCATGCTAACTTGCAGCTCAGAAACACGATCTGCATTATGGGAAGATTCTTTCTCTAGTTTGCACAACTCTGCCTCATTGTAAAGACCGCTCAGCTTAAAATACTCAGCCAAGGCTCCCTGAAGCTTGGATTGTATGGAACTTAGCTGGAAAAAAAAGTATGGGACTTTTGTTTACCAATGAAACTATTTTAAAAATTCCTAAATATTATTTCAAGGAAGAAAAAAAAATTTCTTCAGTAAGAAGGTGCAGATTTTGACAAAAGGTCAGTGCCTCTGAACTGGTTCAAAGTACAAGAACTCACTGATAGGAGATGTGGCTCAGGAATTGTACAATTTATACAACTACCCATACACACATTCAATGGGTACTCTTCAAATTTTAGTATGACATTATGCTAGGAATAATATGAAAATGAAATGAAGTTGTTTTTTATACCTGTTTCACGTCTGTAATGGCAGCTTCAAGTTGAATGAAATTTAAGTATGACATTATGCTAGGAATAACATGAAAATGAAATAAAGTTGTTTTTTATACCTGTTTCACGTCTGTAATGGCAGCTTCAAGTTGAATTCTCTCCTCATAGCTTTTCAGCATCTGCTCTTTTGTTAACAAATAGTAATTCTGGAGTTGTCTGTACCTAGAGGCCAAGTCTTTGTTGATCTCTTTATAACGGGTTTTGTCAGCCTGTAAATGTCCTTTAATCATCAGCAATTGTTGGAGTTATCAAATTTAGAAAAAAAGATATTAACTTTTGAATAAAAAATTGAATATTTTAATTAATGTCAGTTGAACATTTATTTAAGGCTGAATATGTAAAACTCTATAATTATAATATTTTTGGTCCATTTGAAATAATATTAATATTAAGTCTCTTTCATGTAATAAAATAACATTTAAAATGCAAATAAAATATATGTTCAAATGCATAAATTGTTTTGTTAAATTTGATGAATTAAGGTTAGTAATTTATTTTATCTTAGAGATGTAAAATCTCCCCTACAGATATACTCATGAAATGACAAGCATAAAACCTCATATTTCTTCAGAACAGCCTCTCTATCTTTCATCAAAGCTTTGTGCTTGTTCTCACTTTCCTTAGAACGCTCTGGTAATGACAAAGAAAGAATTAAGTCAATTAAATTTAGCCAACCATAAATCAAAACATGTCCCTTTAAATAAAAAATCAATAGTAAATCTCTTGATATCTTAGAATTTAACCTTATAGTTGAAATTACTTATGAAATGCATAGGATAACAGGTTATTTAAATAATATTCAAATTTGTTGTAGGGTGTTTTTTCCCCTCACTGACCTTGCATGTCATTATACTGCTTGAGTAGATCTGCATTTAGTTTTCTTCCAGAGGTAATCTGTAGGTTAAGCTCCTCCCGCTCTGACCTGTGAATGTATTGCATGGAAAAAAAACATACAATATTGCTTCAGTTGATTTCTAGATTCAAGTCAAATGTTGGTATTGTTGCATTTTTTTTTTTTAAAAACAGCAAATTTATCATTTGAGAATGTACTCTTCTGAATGAAGATGAATGGGACACAAACAATTTGTGTAAATAAAACAATATATTTTAAGCTTTAAGACAAAAAATAAATTCAAATGTATCGGCTAATGCCTTCATCAGAAGAACGAAAAGCTTGATATAATTATAAATTAAATTTACATAACAAATTTATATTCTGCCTTTATCAAAAAATGAAAGAAAAGAATAATAATGGGCACAAGTCCCTAACAAAAACAAAAAAATAGAAAGAAAAAAGAAAGTGGATGGAATTAAATATAAAAACCATATAGTAAAAGACATTGAAGCTATGTAAAATTTATTTATACTGTATAGAGTGAATGTAACAAATATTTTTAATAATTTGTTTTCCAAAAAAGTCTGTCAGGTGTATTACTTGCATACATTATACCAGATAGTGCTATGTCCAATATTAAATTGTGGTTAGCACTACTAAAATGTTTAGAAACTGGACAAAGGGCTTTGTTATTGATCTTGTACAGGTTTTCTCCTAAACTGTCTCCAAGGTGATGAACTTTCTCCACTACATTTGACTGCTTTCATTTTTTACAATTTTCTGCACTTCTGCCTAAAGCAACGGTCAAACATTTTATTTTTTATTTTCAGTTGCTCATTTTATAAAGAAGTAATGGGCAATGAAACAGGTGGTATTGTCTCATTCAGATGTTAGCAGAAGGGTATGTTTCTGTTCTGACTGGTTTCATAGGTTTATGGTGCAGATTTAGTTGATGTGGCCTCTGTACAGGTGAGAGATTATGACCTATTTTCTTTAGAAGTAGTAATTTATAGGGTACTTTGACTTTGGGCGAGTTTTGGCCAGGCATGTGTGTAAGCAATGGTTTTTTATACTACAAAGTGGGGTACTGCAGCAATGTGATGTTGATGTTTGTAATGTAGCAAAAAGCAGTAGGTTGTGGATTGCTGGTGTGAGGTTATAAAAAGAGAATGAAAAATGTTGCTCTTTTTTTCTTTAATAATTGTTATTAATTGCAGACCCATGTTTACAAATCAAACTTGATTAAGAGAGATAAATAGCTTATACAAAAAGTAAAATATGTAATTTGGTTCAATGGTATTACATACGTTAAAACTGCAATGGTTTCTTCTGATGTTTTAACAGATCTCTCCATCATCTGCTGGGCTGCATCCATTTCTTCAATTTTACTTTTCATCATCTGTGTACTCCGTTCCATCTCATGCAGTTGATCATTAAGATTTTTTAGCTCATTCTGTTTTTGTTGAAGTTATGTTAATTAAGTTAATGCTATTAAGTTTGGATTAAATTGCAAATTAAATTGAATTATAACCTAATAATTTAAAGAAAAACTGAAACGGTAATGCTTAAGTACTTTGAAAGTTTTATATTTATTATTGAAAGTCTTTGAAATGTTTGCCCTCTAGTTGTCCCACCTTGACAGTGTGATGTTGTGGTTCCAGTTTCTCTATTGTTTTAGTCAACTTTTCTTGACTCTCCTTGTGCATAGTCTCTGTGTCCTTCAGTTTTGTTGTTAAGTTATTCTTTAGCTGAAATGTAAATGATTATAACTTGAAATATATTTTCAATTTTTAAAAAAATTTAACAAAACAGGAAATTAATATATAATTTGATGAATTATACTATTTATTACCTGTTGTCTCTCTGCCTTAGCAGATCGAAGTTTTTCTACTTTTTCAAGTACTGCACTGACAGCCCTTTCAACTTCATCTGCAATGCTCTGAATCTAAATCATAAGACTTTAAATTATTTTAACATGATAAAAATTAATTTTGGGAAAAATTTCTAAGGTTCATTTTTTAATTCAATAGGTTCTTGAGTTACATTGAAATTTCTTTTTCATTTGGGAAGTTTATAGTAGGGTGAACTAAAAATATTACTATATTATGTCTTTTAAACCAAACAGAGGTACAAAACCACCTAATTACTATAGTTTATGTAAAATCATTAGGAATCTCCAAAATGTAGTGTTTAGATGGAAATTTTTAAAAATAATTAATTGTACAATAGAAAACAAATCAAAACTTATGCCCACTTTCTCGTTCTTTTTTGCAGATTCTACTTTTGTCTTTTCAATCTCATTTCCATCAGAGCTAATACGAGCATTTAATACTGTTCTTGTGTGCATCTCGTCTTTAACATGTTTTCGCAAGGTTTCCACAGTTATCTAAAAATACATGAAAATTTGTTAGCTTGTATCAGATGAATTCAAAATTTCTTTATTACTCACAGGTGCCATAAATACTTTATTCATAATTCTACCTTTAGTTTCTGTTCTACTTGGAATGTTTTGTCTAGTTCTACAGCACGTTGGCCATGTAAATGGTGATTCAGAGCGGCAATGCCTTTATAACTTTCCATAGTTTTATGCAGCATGTCACCAGTCTTCTCCATCTCTCTGTTGATTCTTGCAACATTTTTCTCATCAGAAATTTTTTGCTGGTTACTGAAAAGTATATATTTCACATTTCACTTTTACAATTCAAGAAGATTGATGACATGATAATTTTTTAATACAATTGTAGACACAAAAATAACTTTGACTTAAAATTTAATCACTAATGACCAAATTATTCTTGAAATAAAAAGCTATCAAATGTTATCAGTGATTGTTGTTTCTTATTTAAGAGTTTTCTTATAATTTTAATGTATGAGCCTACAATCAGTCAACATCTTAGATAAAACATAAAATTACCATCTTGCGATCTTCTCCTCACAATCCTCAATATCCATTGTAATTTCCTGATTTTTATGAAAAATTGTTTTATGTTTAACCTCCAGTGCTGTCACCTGATTTTCCAAATCTTGAAGTCTGTGGTTGTTACGATTTTTCTAAATACAAAAATAAAATACTTTAATATAATAGTCAAGGTGCCATTAAATTATTCTTAAGGTTGTAGGTATAAAAAATATCAGTACATTCAAAGTAGAGTTCTTAAAACCTTTTTTTGCGTTCTTAGTTTTGTACTGGATCATTTTACAAGCTGTTAAAAAATTGATTAAACAGATTAAATCTTGCAAATGATATAATGATAAATTTGAGTAATAATTGAAGTCATTACTTCTATTTAGCATGGGTTTAAATCTACATACAGTGGTGTTGAGCTCTTGTTCCAGTTGATCATTTTCATTTTCTAGTCGTCTGTATTCAAATCCAGCTTGTGTAAGTTTAGATTGTAAGTTTCGTACCTGCCAATAGCAAAGTTTTTAAAAGTGTAATAAAAGTGCAATTAAATTTTAAACTATTTTTAAATTAAGAAGAACACATCATAATAAACAATCATTTATGTTTTAAATTACTTTTCTGAATGGTCAAAGTAGTTTGTAAATATTTGTTCTTTCGAATTTTGCTGTATTTTTTAATTACTTTTTAAGGTTTATGGTATTTAAATTACAATTTTTGTTTAAAAAAATAATTCTAGTACATCTATTAAATATGCTACAAATACAGAACTTACTTTTGTTGCTTGCATTTCTTCAGCTACCTTAGCATTTTCATTTTTCACTTGAAGAACTTTCATTTCTTGTTCATTGTCAATCAATTGTTGACTGACGTCATTCACTTGATGAATGTATGCATTGAAGGTCATCTTAGCCTCATTTAGCTCTTCGCTACACACAAGTGGTTGTATAAATTAAAAGTGCTTAACATTTTAACATTTCTTTAATAAATACCCAGCTCCTACATTTTTTTTTCATTACTTAATGTAGTGATTCCAGAACACACTCAACTGCCACACTAAGGAATTTTTAATTATAAATTTCATATACGCCTGACAAAAATTAAAATTTACAGTCAGTATTTATAATTATAAAGATGTCTCAATAGGCTTGTGGGCATTTCTTATGTCACTAAAGGTAAAAGTAAAGCTGTTTCTTTCTTCTTAAAAAATCAAAATCAGACATTTTTAAATTGTTTAGGAACGTTTTCAGTAAATTTTTCTTTGTTATTTATATGCATCTATTAATTGTCTGCCCAAAGATGTTAACGAATTAATAGTGGAAAATTTACTTCTTACAGCTTAAATTTCAAAATAAATGAAAAATTCACCTAATGCTAGCAAGGTCTTCTCTCACTCTATCCAACTCCTTCTTTATGTATCCCCGCTCAGTTTCTGCCTTAGTTATGGCCTCAGTAGATTTCATCTGTGTCTTGGCCAGCCTCTGATTGGTCATTACAAGCTCCTGGTCAGTCTGAAAAAATAATTTTCTGATATGAATCTTACATAACTGATTTAAATATACACTTACAGAAGGAATAGCTTGAACATTTTACTTCCAATTTCTTCACAGATCTATTTTACATTTAGATAATCAATCCCGTCAGTCAATATTCTTTGGTTTGAAAATGTATAATGATACAGGCAGTGTCATCTACTCACATCTCCCTGAGCTTTTCTTATCTTGTCCATGGCTTCCACCTCCAGGATAAGTTTTTCTTGTACCAAAGGTCTGAAGGAAAATAAGATAAGATAAGATTCTTTTATTGATCCAAACAAATGGAAATATTTTTTGATTGCATGGTACATTTTTAGCACATAAATACAACAATTTAAAAACAAGACATCTACATTTAATTAATTCACTAGTGAAAAAAAAAATGGGTGGCAAAGTTTGAAAACTTCTATAATCTAAATTGACCAGACTTTTTGTTAGGCTATGACTACAAGAAGTAAAAATTTTGTCATACAAATATTAATTTAATAGTGAACGTTTCAACAAATAGCTTTTGTCTTGCAGAATTAATGTTATTACTTTTCAAACTTATTTAGCACAAAGTAGTTTAAATAAATATATTTTGAATATATAAATATTTTTTTTTAAACTGTCATGATTCTGGGATACAACACATACAGGTTTGTACTTTATTGAATAAATTGTATCCCGATATGATGTAAGATGTATGCTAAATGAACAGGTGCATTCCTGTTACACATCAACCTGCTGTAACCAGTCATTGATAAAAATGTTGAAAATGCTCTAATCAACAAAGAAATTTTCCAAAGAGAAAGTCATGAAAATAAACATTTGTTATAGATCTGGAAAGTAGAAATGAGTGGGTTTAAGATTAAGATTTTTATTTGACATGAGATATACTCAGTTAGTAAATATGCAGTCGTGATGATCATATGAGAACTAACTTTTCCTGTTTTTCCTAGTGAAAAGGGAACTGAGAGGAAACATAACATATTTACTAAGGCGAATGAAAGCTAACATGTCTGTTAAATATAATTTAGTCTATTGTAATTTCTTACAAAAAATAAATCATGGTGCATGCAACTATAAATGTTTAAATAACTTTGTTCATTTAGTGCGCTGCATGGAACTAGTTCAGTCTGATCATGGCATTTGAATTATAACAGACCTGAACAGTGGATAATGCAGAAATGAGTATCCATTACCCTGCTAAATTCTTATACTTAAAATAGTTCAAAATTACATAATATTACACTGCTAAATATTATACAGAATTATATGTTCAAAAGTACATACACATGTTGCTTTACAAACGCAATATCCTCTTTCAAGTGACTGTTTATTTTTTCAGCAGTTTTATAACGCTGTTGAGCTTTTTCTTCATTATGTGTGGTGTACGCTAAATGCCACTGAAGTTCACTAAGGTCCATTATACAAGTCTCATGTTCTGTAGAGATATTAATGAATTAGAAAGACAATAAAACCAGTACTGCAATAGTTATAAAGTGCTGAAGTCTTTCCTAATCCTATAAAGACTGATTCTTTTCTTAGCAAGATGAATGCACTTAAAAATGTGGAAGGTGCAAATATTTCAGATCTATTGCTGAAAGGAAATAAGCAAATATGCTTTAGATATATATATTTATGGCTTTAAATTTTTTCAAAATAGTTAACTATTATGTCATAATAATTAAATTTGAGTTTCAGATTTCATACTTTTTAAAATAATTTTCAGATCAAGATTCTCCTCAACATGTACCAGATTATGCTTAACATAAAATACCTCTCTGTACAAGGGCTGGTAACTCCTTTAATCTGCGAAGTCGAAGCTCATCAATTTTAGCTCGAAGCATTTCTGTTCTAGCAACCTCTTTTAGGTATGCCTCTTGTGTTTCATGCCAGTCATTCTCAAGCCTAGCTAGTAAGATAATCACTTCATCTATAACCTCTTGAGCACCCAGATAAGGAATATCATTTTTTTCACTGCCAAGTCCTGTAAGATTATTTCATAGCCTGTTTGAGTCTGTCACATTTCAATATATATTTAATAAAACTTGTTACTGAAGGCACAAAAATCAATCAATTAAAAATATCCTAAAATGTGTTAAACAGAATAACTATAAGTGATAAAAAAATTAAATAATTTTAAATTATTTATTTTTTAATAATTAAACTAGTTGCTGAAAAAAAATATCAGTCTGATAATTCAGCAACATAAAGAAATAAATGTCTGCATATCAAACAGTTTAAATTTGTTTAATAAAACAAGCTAATTACCTTCTTCAACATAAGCACCCACACCAAACACTGATAAATCATTTTTAACTGATGACAGGCCTCTGGATGACAACATTCTGGTTGAGCTTTGCCTGTAGGAGAACTGATCTTCATTGCTGATCATTGCTTTTTCATCAACTGCTCCTGGAAATTTAAGTTGCCTCTTTCCACCTGCTAAAAATACTTTAATTAATGTGCAGGCACTTCTTGTTTAAAATAATAATCACATATACTGAAAATGGAATCTATTTCCTTTGTTCTTTATGAAATACAAAACATTAATTGATTTTGCAATTATTAAGACATTAGATTTTTTATTTAAAATAGAGATATTGCTTTACAAATGCATGTTATGTTTTTTCTCACCAAATTTTGTTGTAGTGTTATTTTATATTTTTTTTAATTTACAGTATTATCCTATGAGTGAGCTATGTTTTCAAAGTGATAATTATGAATCACTTTAAACTCAGTGCTAAACTTGTATTGTCCATGTTAAATAAGCCATCTGTGAACAATTTTACTCTGAAAAATTATGTGGTCATATTAGTATTACCATATTCAGAGGTTTGTTGCAGATTTTTTTGCAAAAGTTGTTTCTCATTTAGTGATTCAAATGATTGCTGGATTGCATTCTGCAATAATTCTATATGAGAGACAGCTTTCCTAAGACATGGTGTCCAAATATTGGTGAGTTCACAGCTACGTGGTCGAGCTAGTTGTAAAATCTTTGGCCAGTTTTCAGGTAGTGGATACATCTTGTCTGTGAACGTTACAAGGCATTAAGATGTAAACAAAACATTTATTACTAGTATGGAATAAAATTATTAGTTATAATTTCAAGTTTGCTATGCAGATTTTTTTTTTATAGAAAAAAACACACATTCGATATTAGATGCAGTTTTTGATAGTTGAATTTTAGTGCTGGTTACCAAACTATATTTCAAAATACAACATCTTTTCATTATCTGGAGCTGCTAGCTCTTCATGTTTACTTAATAAATTACCATCTGTATTTGTACCTATAAAGTTAGTTGAATATTAGCATCTTTAGTGGTTGTTTTTTAAAAACAAATATATAATCCATAAATTGTCATAATTATTTCCAATAGCTGATGGAGGCCTATATATGAAATCAGACATTTTTGATTTTTCAAACAACAAAAAAGGTAATATTATTGACTTCATTTAACTACATAGTATCCTGGGTCTGCATCAAAGAAAAATTATACGAAACCATAATAATTGTTTTTTACTAATAGTCAGCATAAACAAAAAAAACACAAACATACCTGAAGAAACTTGAGACTCCACAGAAATAATGCTTTTCCTTTTTTGTTCATCTTCAATCACTGAAACTGTCATCATTTCAGTACCAAGACTTTCATTTGCACAATAAGGAGTTTTAGGCTCTACATCTTCCACTCTGACAACTTTTGCCATCGAAACAGATGCCATATTATTGTTTTTTTGTTGTTTTTTTTTTGTTTTTTTTTCAATCAATTCTCACATTTAATATTCTGAATTGGAGTATGAAAATGGGATACAAGTGTGAATATATTTCATAATGCAAAAGTCATAAGTTGTCAATTATAGAGTCCATGTGTTTTTTGCTTTATGAGATTGAGTATGTAAAACATTATCAACTGTAGAAAATATATTTGCTTTAAAGTTTTCAAATAAACAAAATAACATAAAATGTATATTTTATAATATTTATTTATACTTAGCCAAAAATTTCAATCACTTCATCCAATACATTTTATTACATAAAATAAAAAAATTTAAATTGTTTTTCAGATTGTTACTGTTATAAATAAATATTAATAAAATGAATGATAATTATTAGCTGATCACTGATAAGGGACTCAAATATAATTAATTTAACAACATAATCTGATCCAAATTGAAAGATACATTTTGTGTCAAAAAAATAAAGTAACTGTAGTCCAATAGAGCAATAGTAATATAATTATAGACTTTACTATATTGTACATTAAATATAGAATATAATCTCTAATTATTAACTTTTTTATTACCGCTGGTTTTGGCATCGATTTTTCTAACTCAACAATAAAAAACTTTATAAATAAAAAAAAAAGAAATTTTATGTATTTTTCTATCAGAATCGCTTTTTAACTTCTCTATAGATTAACAAATAAAGAAATATCAAAGTGGCTATTCGTAACCAGGTACCAGAAGTGAGAGGTTGGGATTAAAGTACTATTTAAAATTTTATTGTTGGGTTTGTAAGACAAAATGCTGTATCGATTGAAAGATAATTGAACCACTATATGTTTGTAAACTTAATTCTTCAGTTTAACTAAAATAACCTACCACAAATGACATCCGAATAGCACCAAGTCAAAATGGACCCAGACACGCAGTGCCACCATTCGCACCCAGGTACCATTAGACTCAAGCTATTACAAACATATAGTCCATTCAATTATCTTTCATCAATTTTATATATGTTAAATTTAATTTTAAGCCTACGAAATTAAATTTGTGTACTTTTCTTCAAAAGTTTCAAATTCTTAATAAAGTTAATACTATTAGTCAATAGTAATAACTAATTATACGTATACATAATATTTATTAAAATTATTATTAATTTTAGAATGAATGCAAATCTTATTGACAATTGCATTGAGCTTTGTTTTGAGTTCAATATTTCATTTTGAAATTATAAAATATTTTATTTTATATTAAGGATACTATTACAATTTTTATTATATTGGCAATTTACTGGGCCTAAATATTAAATTAATATTAAAATAATGGCATTATTATTTTGGCTTAGCTGAGAACTTGGAAGCAGGCCAGGCTTATTATTATAATTATAATTAAGTATTATTATTATTCATTCCTTATTTATCTTTATAATTATACTAAATGAATTATTTATAGAATGTCGTGATACTAAATCTTTCAACATCCCCATAAGTCTAAATCGTACTTATAATAAAAATATTTATTCTTGCGTTATATTAACATAGTAAAATACTTAAATATCCATTTACTTAGGTCCTTGATGAAAATTAAACCGCAATGGAAGCTAAACACATTCAGCCATTTTGACGCTTTAGGTTTCTACGGACGGAAATGTCCGGAAAAATCCGTAGGGAGAACGAAAGCTTCCGAGTCGGTCAAACACTAAAGATGGCGACCGCCAGTTTGTTTGGCGTTTAAGAAACAGAAGTATGTTTTTGTTTCATTCTCCACAAATGTGGCGAAAAGAAGTGACATGATAGCCATTTACTGGCTGGCTTATCGGTAATTATAATAAATTATCTATATTTTAATAGCCCCTATTAATGATGTATTTTATTTCTATATTTACTGAAAGTAGCTAATCAAAATCGACACCATCATCGAGTTCATCGACTGACTCTTCTGCTCCGAGAGACATAAGTAAAGTAAAATTTACCCAGTGGAAATATGTAGAATGCTGCTAAAATATCACAAAAGGCCCTTTATTATTTTAAATTGTATTCCTCACTAAGAAGGCCAATATTAATAATAATAATAATACATTTTAGCTACACCTCAAGACTCAAGACCACTGTCATTTTCCTTATTTAAAAAAAAAATAAAAATAAGAGCCTTGTCCTAATCATCTGGACCTGGATCTATCTAGACAATCTTCACAATGTTATTTGCAACATAATGCAAGTGCCTCAACTTAACTTCAAATCTATTTAATTTGCTCTAAAAATAATATTTTGCAAGCATAGTCATAGATCGATAAATAATAATCAGAAATATGGAAAATATCACTCGATAAATAATAATCAGAAAATATGGAAAATATCACACACAATATGGTCACGGAAGATAGCCTGATTAGCGAATAGACTTACTTATTGCGCAGATTTTTATGTATGAATTTATCATTATCATACTCAAATGTTTATATCCTGAAGCAAATTCAGTTGTCATGAATTGTAGATTTTTTAATCTCCATCCAATGTTGTGTTTTAAGTAGACAAGAATAGTACAGGCCTATTTGCTCAGCATAATTGGCATAATTGGAGATATATGGATTTATGGATGAACATAGCATCTTTTTGTAGCCCTCAGATGTGGCAAGTCCAGCGCCAACCTGTTATGGCTTCCTTCCCTCACTTCCTTTCCTCACATAGTCTCAGGTGTAGGGTTTTGCTTTTTTATTTTATATTCTGAACTGTGCACTGGAATTATATACATAATTTATTAGATATTTAAATTTAATATTTTTTATATTAAGTTTTAACCTGATGGCAATGACCTGTTTTCGGTAAAAGAGCAGAAATAGGAAGTTTAAAACTTATTGGGTATGCCCATTTAAAAAATGAAACCCGTTTATACAAGGTGCTCTAGTCATCATTTATATCACTAACAAAAGTAAAATAGTTCTCAACAATAAGTTTCTTGAAAGTTATTGTCTTGTCATACAAAGTAAATTGAATGATGTGTAATCACAATGGCTCAGTGGGAAGTTGTAAAGGAAATATAAAATTATTACTTTGGAGGACAAACATATCCTAATCTTGTGTGTATCTGAAATAATTAAATTTGTAAATCAGTGACAGGGAATGCTGAATATTAATCTTACATTTATTTATATTTATTAAAAAACACAGAATAATTTTTTAAAATATTTTTCTTTTTTGCAGTGTGAATACTTTGCTTCGCTAATTGTAGTAGTAGGAAATAATTTCCTTAAACCTTACAACCAGACGCTGAAATGGAAACCTCATCATTGAAAGAAAATAATGTTACAGCACTTGTGCCTAGTAGGAGAAGTGTTCGTCAGTCATTGCGTAATAAAAAATGTAAGTTTAGTAGATTGACTGAAATAGTGATTGGAAATGATTATTTGTATAAAATAGTGTCCACTTTTAATTATGTATTTATTTTAAATTTCATAGCTTGAAAATAAAAGTTTGACTTCAAATTTATCAGAGATTTTGGTTAGCCGCCTTGTTTTCTTGATACCAGTAAATGTCCAAACACTAAGTATTCATATGTTCTGTTAAATAATTTCAAAAGAACTAAACAGATTGGAATTTATTATTTTTTAAAATAATTTAATAGTTTCAAAAGGTATGTTGGTAAATTTTTTAAATCTTAATTGCAGTGCTCTACTGCATAAAATAACTATTTCTGTTAAATTTTCTTGAATATATTATTATTCATTATACATTATATTTCTTTCATAGACAAATATGACCCATCAGATGTGAAACCCAAATCAAGAGCAGCAAATATTTCTTCCTCAACAAAGGCCCTTGAGCCAGCCGCCTCAGAGGATAAATCTGATGATGCTGTTATTAAGGGAAATGATGCTTTGGTGAAATCAAATCCCATTGTCTCAAATGGGCTAGGAATAATTGCCAACATAATTGTGAACTCAAATAAAGCTGGCAACAAGCGGAGTTTACCTGGATTATTTAAAACTGCAATGAAATTTAGCATGAGAGTAAGAAATATGTTTTTTTTAGCCTTTTTTTTTTCGTCTCTACAAATAAATTTGGTGATAAAACCAGAATGCATGGAATGCTTGGTTAAGTACTTAGTCCATACCTTTTTGATTTTAAATCTTATTTCACAGCTATATTTACGTTCCATAAACCATAATTTGACCAAAATGGCCTTAAGTTGCTTCTTTCCTTAACTGATTATTTCTGCTCTTTTAATTTAAAATATGTCACATTGATTTGTGAATATTTACAAGGGAGTTTTAACTTTATAACATAAAAAAATATTAATAGGAACTTGTTTTGTTTTTATGTATTGTATCTCTTTATTTTTTGGATAGCGAAACCTTTTTTTGCTGTTAGTTATTTAATTTTAAAAATTTTTTGGGAAATGCTATAAAAATAAAGTAAAGGACCTTTGATTTTTTACGAAATCTCTTTTATCACTTTTATTTTTTAACCATTGTTTTAAATTGGGTAAAACAATTTTTTAATACCCAGGTTCCCAATTCTTGGGTCATGATGTGTTTTCTGTGTTGGCCTACTGAAACATGCTAAAAAATATAAATTTAAAGCATTTTTCAGTATTAATTGAGTAACATCATTTGCTTCAAAATATATCACTTCATCTCAAAACAAAAAAGAAGCAGAATAACTTTTGCAAATGAAATGAGAAATACTAATACCATTAATCAAAACTCAACAGCAAATTTAAAAAATTGTTAACAAATTGCAATTTCAGTCATAACATTAAACATTTAATAAGTTAAATGACATGAATTATATTAAACTGCATAATCTGATTACCTATGTGTTTCTTTTACAAAATAAGTCTTTTTTAATGTATCATGTTGAAGGTCACTTTACTTCTATACCATGAGGTTTTGGATCACTAGGGGTAGCGACACAAACAAGGTTGGGAACCTGTGTTGTAATATCATATGTAAAAAAACCACTCAAATGAAATTATTTTCCTCAACAACAGCCTGCTTCAAGTAACTTAAATATTTAAACATTTTTTTAGCCTCGCAAACGGACTAGTAAACGATCTAAATCTGTTGCGGCTCAAATTGAGCAGACAAAAGATGGATGCATCGATATGACTCCTGACTCAATTTTATGTAAAACAAATCTCAAGGTATATTATCTAAATGCTTACATACTTTATGATATTATTGGCAATAGGGCTTACCAGTTAAAGTTCCTCTACATGCCTAAAATATAATTATGGTCTCTTGCTTGCTAAAACATGTGCTCACTTTTGGATTGTATCAGTACTTTACACATTTAACTAACTTAAAATATCCCCAAAAAATTTTAAAAATTTCAATTGATTTTAAAATTCTACCAAATTATAATGTATTAGAGTAACATATGAAAAAACTATTTGCTCAGGGCCTTATGAATGACAAGACATTCAGCCAGCTTCCAGCCGACTACCAGTATAAGCTGGTCACTTTACTTCCACAATGTGACCAAATTCCTGTTACAGATACTGAAGATCTCAGGTATTTTTTTTAGTCCACAATAGATTCATATTATTCATTGTTAGAATTTCTGATATACTTTTTTAACCATAAAGAACATTTATAAACCTGAACAGGGTCCTCATTCAGTCGGGAATTCATTAAATAATTTTCCAGGTCTTGAAAACTGAGAAAATGGGCTTTCTTGTAAGGAAATTTTTCAGCTAGTTGGGAATTTTTAATTTGTAAAAAATATCAATATATTTGGATTCCATGAATATTGGTGTTAATCGCCAATCTCGCCAATTTTAGCTCTTCTGGTTTAAAAAATACTTTGCCATAATGCTAGTGGTTTACCCTTAAATGCGCATGCGTTTTGAGCTCTACAAGTTTCAAAAATGAAATTTTGTACCGTACTGCTTTGATAGACCAAAAATATTTATGAAAAAACATTAACTCCATATAGGAAAAGATGCTTTCCACTGTGGTAGCTATACATAAGCTCTAAAATGCCCTTGAGAAAAAATTGCAAAGGTTGACCTTGTATTTAATAAATATTTACATGTATACACCTTAACTACTTAATTTTTTTCATTTGTGTTGTATTTCAATGTTGTTTTTACTTTTATATTAATCAACAAAAACTCTGCGTTGCGATAGTCAGAATTTTTTTTGCTTTTAGTTGTCGCAAAAGAAGAATTTTTTTTTAAAAAAGGAGTGGGAACCCTGGGGTGAAAAAATATTTTCTGTGTTTTCTTATTTTTTTAATTTATTTAAATTTTACATCAAATTTAAAGGGGGAAATGTTAATGAAATAAAATGCATGTTGGTTTATAATTGCAACATCAAAACATTCTGAATTTAAATTACATAGTAATTTTTTTTTTCATATGAAAGCATTTTCTTTCTTGACCCTCATTTTTACACATGCATTTAACACATCCTTGTCCAGTTCCAGTAGACTGTTCTGTTACAGCTGATCTGAGGGAAATTTAAACAATTTCTATCCTTCGTATTTTCTTGGAATGTCAAAAAAGGCTTCTTACACACAGAAAACTGAGATCAGGAATAAAGCTGTTTTAATAAACCTTTTGTCATGCCCAAGCGATAGACATTATCCTGCTACATATATATGATGACGGCCAAAAACATCCTTTGTCACTTTCATGAATGGATATCTGCACTGTAGTACCACACTCAACTGAGGAGAACTTATTTTCACATCTGGTCATCGTTTTACTAGCTTGTGGTTGAAGATTATTTTTGGAAGCGTTCCTATTTTGTATAACATATTTCTGATTTTAACACTGATGAACTTCAATTGAAGACTTAGAGCACAAACGTGTCATCTTTTAATGGAGAGTTTTCCATCTGTAGATTCCTTATTGGTGTAGTAGATTCTGCGGATATGTGTGATTGTTTAGAATTAGAACATGTCGATGAAAGGCTTGGTTTCTCATGAACTGAACAAAATGTGGACCAACAGTCCAATGACTGCTGTTCTCATGAGCATGTTTTCAACATGTTGTTTCACATGCTTTATACTCCCTTTACTTTGGCTATGGCAATGTTTGCCGTGCACAGCCTTAAGCTGTGGTCAATAGTATTGAAGGCTAGAAACCTTTTGATTGCAAAATTCCTGATGGACAAACAAATCTCACTCAGATCAGTTGCAATACAACATGTCTACTGGAAAATGTTTATATGCAAAAAAAGGAAACTAAAATAAAAAATCATAATGTCAACAAATTAGTGCTGACGCAGACTGGGGCAATAAATAGACATTTTGATCTTAAAATATTTTTGCCCTGGCTCTTTATTATTTTTTTTAAATCCAATCAATTTCATCTTATTATATACTTTGCTTAAAAGTTCAGACAGGCTTTCTATAGAATGCCCAGGCCATGTGTATAACGTCTTAATGTATTTCACACTTTGACTAGAATTGTCACACTGGATTACACACTTTGCCTGTAACACTTCTACTATTCCTATAATCTTATTTTTACAAAATCTCAGGTTAAGTACAACTGCTTTAAACAATGAGTTTTTTGCCAAAGCATGCATGGAATGGAAAGACAGACTTTCAGAAGGTAATACTTTATTTCACTTGTAATATTTTTTAGAATGCTTCTTTAACTTTTCTTCATCTGAAACATACTAACTCCATATTTTGACGAATCTATAGCTTTCAATTAGTGTACTAATTTTTTATTGTAAAAAATTGTATCTGCTGTGGAATCAAATAAGTTACACTTGTATTTCTCCAGGAGAATTTACAACAGAGAATCAACAGCGTTTGAAGCTGGATGAAGAAAAAGAAGAGAACAAGATGGAGGAGTGGAAAGTATGATAATATTTTATAAAAGGATTAGTTCAGTGAAAATATCTTATTTGTCTCTACTAATTGAGGCAAGCAACCACTTTGAAGCTTGTAAAACTGGGAAGAGGTGCATAATCTAGAATAATAATTCCAGATGACGCTCCATATACCCACTAATGCTTAGTTGTATTGACCTTCATTTGCCTTTTTTTCAGGCATATATAACTTGTAAGTTTTAAATGAGTGGTGGATAATGAATGTGTTCTTTTGCATGCTTTTGGGTATAGTGATGGTGAGGAGTGGAAGAGAAGCCATTGAGAGTGCATAACAATAAACCATGAGAGCAGTTTTCACAAGATCCACTTTATATGTATATCTTGAATTATATTTTTGACATTGCAGTGTTTTTTTTATCTAAATTATTAAAAATCCTTGCATTATAGAATGTGTTTAAAAAAATTCCTGATACAATATTTTAAGTTATCTGATCTGTTAGTTTTTTTTTATTATTTTTTTTTTAATGTTTTTTTAAAGTCTTATTTATTTATTTTTAAATTTCTTTTTTCACAGGCTAAACATTTTGAACCAGTTTGGGGTCATTGGTAAGTTTATGTTTACCATAATTTGTGTGTAAATCTTTTCTTAATCTGTTGATGTAATGTAAATATTTGAGAAATGCTTTGATTGTAAGTGCTGACCTCTGAAACATAAATAAACCAAAAAGGAAAATGAAACAAATTTAGCTATTTTTACATTTGATTTTTTTTTTTTAATTTGATAAAATGTATTTTTTCTTCTGCTTTTGTAGCTAACTTTCTTTATTTCTATTTTTTTTGTTCAAAATTTTTGTACCTTAATTTCTGTTTTCAAATTCTAGCAAAATTATGTCAGATGTGCCGAAAGCTACTGGACCATCTCCCAACAAGTTGAACTCCATTTTAGACAATCAGATATCAAAGTCCAAACCTGTTCTGAAAACCAGCATGCGAGTATCTTCCATGATTCACAAGCGTTCACTCAGCCGGGCCATAAGGGCCAGTGTAGAAAGTGCTCTTCCTGCAAATAAAAAATTATCTCAGACAGTTGATGGTGTTAATGACATCTCTGTAAATCATTGCTCATCAGATGCCAATTCTTCAGCTTCCCCTTTGCAAGCTTCCAGCTCATCAGCATCAGAGTCATCTCCCAATTCAACCTCGTCCTTGTCAAGCAACAACTCATCACTTGATTCAGTGATTGCTGCTAACAGGGAAGCATTAGCAAAGCAAGTAGAAAAACTCAGGTTAGTAGAAGATTGAGGGGAGTAAAAGAATATTGCCCATAAAATTTAATGGATTAGTAAATATAAAGGATGTTATATTATTAAAGGCTTTTTGTAACACCAAGTTTGAAAATTTGATGTACCGGTACTTAATTTAATATGATGCAACATTATATAAATGAAAGATTAGTTTATATCCTATATAAATTAATGCACTAGTAGTTTTGATCATTCCAAAATCCAGGCGACTATATATATATTGTGTGTGTGTATAAAGAAGATGTAGTGCATATATTAGGCACAGGAAAATAAATATTAAATTTCCTTTTGAATTCCTCATTAATTGTTCTTGTCTGGCTTCCAGGTCTGAAGACAGAACAGAAATATTAGGAGTTACACCAGCAAAGAAAAGACGTGTCACTGGTTCATCTTCTTCTACACCGGGCAGACCACCTCAACCGATGCAAGCTACAGCTAGGACCCTAGCTCAGATCAGGGCCCAGACTCAAGCTGCTAGAGCTAAACCACACAATGTCGTGTCCCCAAATCACAAAACACAGCCATCAGGCGCCACGTCCCCAACGTCTTCAAATTCTTCACAGGGTGTCACCAGAACAGTCACCATGACATCAACAGGGATCATAATCAAAACTCAGGGACAGACAAGGACATTGGCCCAAATTAAGGCTCAGACACAGGCGGCCAGGACTGGCACATCTGCTCCCGTGGCCCCTCCTTCATCACAGAATAACCAGACGATGCGCAGTTTACTATCCAGTGGTCCCCTCAACAAAGCACCAACTCAGACAAGAACTCTGGCACAAATAAAAGCTCAGACCCAATCAAGAGCTCCAATACAACCTCAGGTAATCAAGCCATCCCTGTCGGCGTCAGCCGAGGCTGTTAAACCTCAGCATATGCCAAATATTTTATCAGCCTCTGCTACTGCCAAGCACAGGGCATCACCTGATCAACAGGTGACATCCACGGCGGATATAAACTTAATGAGATCTATGCAGATTTGCCAAGCAGAGTTGGAGAAAAGCCTGAGCAAATCTACTTCTGGAGGGAACAATCTTGTGACTTCAGTGCAACCTCCAAAAACACCAACGCCACCCCCTTTGCAAATCAGCAGTGCCTCAAAATTTGTGTTTACTCAGTCCGTTCCGGGACCAGGTAATAATGTCAATAATGGTCGTGTGGCTAGCAGCCCCTCTCCGCAACACCACTTCATTCAGCCAGTTTCCCCTGCGAAACCTACTTCCTGTTCAGGCACTCCAACTACTCTGGTCATCAACAGAGGCAGGGTTTCACCTGCCATCCCCAAGTTTGGAGCTGTGGTAACCTCCAGCGCTCACACAGTAGACAATGCCGGTAATAAAATCATATTTGTATCAAATGTTATCAGTCCTGTCAAAGACTCACAGAGTACTCTATTTTTGTTAAGCACCAGCAGTACTCAGGACTTCAATTCTGGGACCATAAAAGTGTCGGCTCCTTCTTCCTGTATTCACACTACAGCAGTTTCACCATCATCTGTGACTGGGCTTAGCACATCCAATTCAAATCAAGTTCACAGGAGGTTCCTTACCCAGGATGCCCTGAGAGCTTTCCTTAATGCGCCTCCACGTGCTGCCAGCGCTCCCCCTAATAACCCTGACACTAAAGTTGAAACACCAACTACAGCTGCAATAGTTAGATCAGCAAGTGTTGGCCACAATGGAATTTTACAGCCTCAGCCAACATCTTCATCTACCCCATCCCCAACCACACCCACACCTCCAACACATCAAACATTCACAGTGTCTCTTGGGGACCTTCCTCAGGGCATCACTATACACAATTTTACCAACCCAACTTTGCATGCGACTGGAAATATCTTGATACCCAATAACCAAATTCGAGTACTTTCCAGGACATCATCATCAGGGACACCATCTCCAGCACCACCACCCTCCTCGCCGTCAAAAATTTCTGGCAGTTTTTGTGTGCATAAAGTTGACCTCTCAGCAGGCACGCCGACTATTCCCAACCCCATCCCACCCCTCAGGTTCTCACCCTCTCCCATCATAGCCCCTATTGCTAGTCAGACTCTATCAGGGAAAAAATTAGGCACAGCCCGCATCATCCATGTATCGGGACCAGGTAAAACTTTACCAGCAGGGACACAGCTGACAAGCCCAGTCAAACTTGGAAGTGTTGTTAACATTCAACCTATTAAGCCCATCAATGTATCCAATACACAGCAAGTGGCCCCAATCCGATCAGCCACTGTTCTCAATGTACAAACATCTCAGTCTTGTGAACATCATTCAGGAATCCCTAATGATCAGGGATCTGGTGGAACTAATTGTGCTTGTAACCACAAGGCCATGGTCATTTGCAAGAAATGTGGTGCTTTCTGTCACAATGACTGTATAGGACCTTCTCGACTTTGTGTTACATGTTTGATAACAACCTAACATTAGCCATAAATAGTCCTTAAGTTCTCGTAAATTTTTAAAAAATAAATCATTATCATACATTTCTTTGTTATCAAGTCACATTATTAGCTGTTTTGTTTTTTAAAATTGTGTTTGGATTTTAAAATTCAGATGGCTGCGTTTTTTCCCCCCACAATCTTAAAATGTCTAATTTATTTTGAAAGTTAATTTTTTATAATGAAGATTGTACATGGTGGATGTCATTACTAGTGAACTTATGAATACAAACTTTAACTGTCCATAGTTTTAATCCCTTAAATGACAATTGGGATCATGAAGAAGTGAAAATATCCGATTTGAACCGGTTGTCAACATGCTCCGCCCTGTAATATTAAATTTCCTCAGGATTAGATTTTCATATTAGATCTTTTTTTTTTTATAAAATCAAGCTCTTCCAATTCTTAGTTGCAAAATATTATATACAAGTTCATTAATTTGATTCCCTGACCAATATTCTGTTGTTCTCATAACACTTGAAATTTTAAAAAAATTAAATACCTTTTTATTTTACAGGTTTTATTAAAAGTTCCCAATTTTGAAGTGCATGGGAAGCTTAACTAATAGTGCATGCTATAAACAAACAGCTGCATCATTTTCTTTTCAGGTTCTCAATTTTAAAGATATTTCTGAGTTTCTATTTATTGGTATAGTCAGGATTGAACATTGCTTTTAATGAAACACTGGCTTCAGTTCATCACATACTGTGGCTATAACATTTAAGGCCTTAAACAATTTTACTGATCAAAAGTAACAATGAATTTTTTTTTCTCAACCTACTTGGAATAGTGCTCTATATTTTAACAAAAGTTATAGTGTTATCCTGACCTGAAACAAGAATGGTTTAATGACACCCCTAAGTCGTTCTGCAAGCTTATTTCATGCCATGGTTATACCATGAGTTCTGTGTTAATGCCAATTATCTGTTTGGGGCAATAATTTGATTCACTTGTCTCACACTCACAGTTTGAAAAACTAATCTTTAAACGTGATTATTTTTTCAAACTGAAATATTAAACAAACATGAAATTTTTAACGTAGTTTTGTATAAATTCTGCTAAAGTGAAACTGATAGAATATTTCTGTCATTAGAAAAGAATATCTATGAAAAAGCCTAATTAAAATATTGATTTGTGATAGCTGGGCATTCATAGAAAAGGAATGAAGTTTTAAAATATTTCTTAGTTGGCTGATCTTTATGCAACATTTGTATGGCGAGGCAATACATATGATGACAAATGCAGGAAATACCTTAAAAATCATATGTACACATTCATTAACTGATGTAAAAAAAATATGAGCTTTTTGTTTAAGTTCTAAATCATTTCGTTATTATTCTTTAATGATATGTGTAAGTATTTAATCAGTTTTTATATTTGTAAATATGTAAAGGAAAAGAAACATGAAAATTAAGACAAATTATGCATTTACTATAGAGATGCAAAAAAAATGTTTGTTGCAGGACTGTAAAATAGTTGCAACTATATTAATTTAACTTGTCAAAATGGTTGTATGTAATTCCGCCCAGGCCATTCATGTTGTTATAATTGTGTTTGCCGATCTCATTTAAAAGTCACTTTATCCAGAAAGTAATGACTTCACTGTTGATGATTACGGAAGCTAAGATTGTCAAACTTTATAACCTTGCTGAGCATTTAATGAACTCTAATTTACTCATGGAAATATCCATCTGTATTTCTGGATCTTGTTAAGTCTGCTACAAGAGCATTTTTAATGGATTCATACTTTGCAACATACAGCTCATACTTATTTTGTGCTTTATACAATGTTTGACATCTTAAATTTCTCCATCCGATTCTCCTTTTTTTTTCTTTTTTTTTTTATCTTCATTTTTTTTTTAAAATCATTTTTTCCAATTTATATTTAGAATTGTATGGTGTCATTGATACTGATGAAAGCTCTTGAGATCATGGACTCAGTAAACTATGATCTATAATGAGTTGCTGCTGCTTATTGTTGGACTAATTTTACTAATATAGACCTAAGAAATTAGCAAAAGAAGCATGATTATTATATCAAAATTATTTTTCGATGATCAGAAACAAATCCAAAAAAAATAATTCGTACAATAAAAAATGTACTTTCACTCTTGGAAAAAAATTGTATCAAATTGACTTAAAAATATTTTTTACCATTATTTTTCTGTCATTGAGAATTGTTACTTGTTTTAGTTTCTGTTTAAAATTTCCCTAAAACTAATAATTTCAATATTATCCCTTCACACAAAAATAAGTTGAAATAACATGACATGAGATATTTAAAAGACACAACAAATTGTGCTTCAATTTATTATTTTTTTAAATTTAGCAATACATTATTTCTTAAACTTTTATATGACCTTTCTTTGTGTAAGGTACACTTATTTTTATCAATTTTCATTTTTTTTTTTAATAAATATTTTTATTGGTTTAGTCTATATGACTTTCTTTAAACCTGTGATTTTATTATCATTATTTTTTAAATACACTTTAATATTTAATTAAGCTTAGAAAGCTTTATTTGTTTGGAACTAACTTAAAATCAAATTATATGGGAAAAAAATCAGAACTATTTGAAAAAATTTAAGATAAGACAATCCCCTTTAAATATCCACATTTTTTTTCATCTTAAGTGCTCCTATTATTAACATATGTTAAAACATATATACAAATCTGCTTAGTCTAAATTCATATTATGTATGTATGTTTCTCCTCAGGGGTTGTTTTCATATAAAGAAAGGAATTGTGCTTGGAAATATTTTAATGCTCTTTTTGTCAACCTTTTTGTTGTGCATATGGAAAAGGTTAAATTTTATATTTTATTAATTTAATTGGAGAAAATCTTAATAGGCAATTGTTTTACATCAACACATGTACATCTTAAATAGTTAGGTCTCATTTGTCTCGGCTTCTTTTTTTCCATGATCGTTTTTATGTAAATGATTAATTCCCATTCACAAACATAAGCTGGATAATCATGGCATTAATTCTTCTTTTTTTGGAATGTTACATAACCGCTGGAAACATTATAACAACAATATATGTTTTGATATTCCTAATTTTTCTCAAAATCCTAAGTATAATTAATTTTTTTTTTGCCTTCATCTTAGTAAGCACAAGGAGAAGGATTACTGTGGTTTGCATTTACATGAATCTTTTAAAATTGATTAGTTATTAACATGGGCATTACTTAATTTAGTTATTTCAGTCGCAACCAATATTTCATCTAGATTTTGTTCATATGTGTGTACTTTGGTGAGGCTGGTGTCTTGCTCACAAAAGCAGTTTAGTGAATCATCTGGAATTGAAAGTTGCTCTTTTCTCTGTTGCTCCTGGGGAGGTGATAAGCTATACTAAATTTTTCTTTTATGAAGATCTTATTTACCACATCTAATAATTTGCTGAGTTGAGGTTTATTCAGATACTAGAAGTGAGAGTTATCTGTCTTTATAAAAGTTGTCTTAAGTATTGCTCCAAGATGAAAATGCAATTCATATTTCACAATGTTAAAATATGTTATACTGTTATCGTGACATTCCTAAAAATATCTTTGCTAGTTAAAGATTTTTTAAAAAATAACAAAAAAAACAATCACTACTATCAGTATATCAGTAATATTACAATATTTAAATCTATAATTTCAGGGATCCGATCTAATTTTCCAGCTTTGAGATGATGTAGTACCTCATTTTAAATAAATAATGTTTATACTGCTACGACAACCTGGTGATGTGAGAAATCATTAATTAAAACTCATCTAGTTGTACAATTGATATTGAAGAGTTACATCTTAAGTGCTTATATAAATATCATAACATCATCTATGATGAAGTCAAAGCAATGAATATAATTAATTAATTGGTTAAGGTCATCCTAATTTATTTTTCCACTCATGTGTATTGACAAAATTTTAACAAAATTATAAATTTTTAGTCAATTATTTTCGTTGATACAAAAAAAAAGTGGCTGTCAGTCTCTGTATTGAACTCACCCATTAAAGTCACCTCACCTTCACTGTTACCTCCCCCATCCTTCACCCACACAAACAAATATGATCAACTGGTTTTGAAGTTATGGATAGTTATGTTTTATACTTATCAATATTCGATGGGGTTACAGTTTCATATTTATGTTTAGAAAATGAGGTTGTAGAGCAACACTGACGTTAACATACTTACTGGTGGTAAATTTGTGTAGAGCAATTTATATTTCAGATCTATATATATTTATATAAATATATTCTCTAATTGCTAATTTAATATATGCGGAGGGCAAGTCAGTGCAATGACAATTTTTGTCAGACTTTAAAATATTTTGATGATCTTTTATATTGAATGTTTGATGGTGATTGTCATACTAAACATCTGGGAATGACAAAATTAAGTCCTAGAAATATTTTCCTTGCATTAATTTTAGCTACCCCACTCGATTATGTGTGTTGTTATTTCTTTTTTTTTCTTTAATTAACCCTTCGGATTCACTTCAAAAGATTCATTTTTGACCATGTCACTCATGATGCTGTCATATAACCCCATAAATTCTAGGTCGTTATAATCTATCAGATATTGCTGTTTTAGATAAGCTTTTGACATTATTTCATGAAGATGCCAGTGTTTATAAAAAGGGATTGAATTTCAGACACTTAATTTTACCAGTGCAAATATACTGATTATTGCATAAACGTCTTTTTCACTTGGAGAGGAGCATTAAATTATTTATTTTTGTTGTTGTTGTTGTGAAAAAGCAAGGGATTTCAAGAAACTACCTGTTCATTATATATTTGTGTGTGTGCCATAAGTGTAATTTTCTTTTGTGTTTTGATTTGTTAAATTATTTATGGGAAAAATATGTATAACAGGTCTTCTAGCCACATACCAACACTAAAGTTTTTTCAACAACATATTAGCCAGTATTGAGAGTCTGATGTCGGGCTAATAAGCCTGTCAACAAAATTTGTTAATGTATAATAAATGAAGCTCTCTG